AGACAGGGAGCAGATATTTTGTTAGTAGTAATTCAATTCAGATTCAATCAGCAATCACATAGCGACGGCAAGAAATTATTGCGCATCATCGACAAGATTAATTTCATACTTTGATGATGTAATAATTTTTTTTAAGAGAAGACAGAATCCCTTGATAATAACAAAACACTCCAAGAACATTTACAACGATTAAAAATCTGTTTCCAATGCACGAAGTTTAAAGATCACAGGTTATTGCTTTTAAGATATATCATACGTTAATGAATATGACAATTTCTGTGAAATGATATGTAACAGTCAAATCGAATTCTAATTGAAGTCTTAATTGCGTAATACCATGCTAAATCAACTGTTTTAAAGTCTAAAAGTGTATTTCATTCATATTTTCATTTGATGAAGCTGCTTCAATCTGTTTTACAATTCAATGCATATTTAAAGGTTTTGCTACTTGTTTAAGTTGATGTTTCTCCCGGTTTGTTGAAATATATATAAAAACGCCTTAAAACGACGATGTATTTTGTTTTTTACTTTTAATTAATTTTAATTTATATTAATGTCTACAGTTTTGGGGCCATATCTTAATTTGGGACATTCTTATGGTCTCCACGGAAGCCAAACGGTGGAACCTTTGGTAATACATTTATGTATGCTTTGATAGTTTAAAACTGATGTGTGCCTATTTAATGCTATGAAATTTATCGTTTGACGTTTTCTATGCGGTGGTAAATTATGCGATACAGTTTTGTCATTTAATGTGGTTTAAAATACAAAATACAACATAATTCACGTTCTGGCGTGATGTAAAACCTGGACATTGGTTTGACAGCATGTAATGTATATCATTGTAAACAATTTTCTTTTGATTGCAACAGATCTGCAAAAAAAGACACGGAATTTATATTCATTTGTAAAAAGGACACCGACATTTTTCCAAGAACGGGGTCAACAATTCGATTACTTTTAATACAGTAATTAGATTAATACTCTCTGTAACCAACTGGGTCAGAAATAAAGATTACTAAATAAAAATGTATCTTTTGTCATTGTTTTCCAAAAGCCACTTTAAATATACATACGTAATGTAGACATTGAAACAAAAATTGACGCTCTAGTGGATTATGTTTCAAATCTTTTCTTTGGTGAAAAACACGTTAAACTTTGCTGCCATTGTAATCTAGAGAAAAATAGTTTTTTCCCAGATAGTCCAAACTGACATCCTAGTAAAATGTATCTATGCATTCTCCTATCTTCTATCATTCATAACGTGAATATAAAGTAATTTAATTATATATTGACCTCTGGCTTTGATTACCGTATACACAATACATTTAATCACACAGTGCATTAATTCGTTATTAAGGCAATAATTATTTGTCATACACATCCAAATATAGCATTGATAGGTGTTATCAAAAATGATTTTAACACAAGCTGAATATTCTCCGCTTATTGCTCTACATTTTGTACAGTAATAATCATGAATACTTTAAGACATGCTTTTTTACAGTTTTAACCTAACTGATCAATATTGGAAATGTTATCAAAAATAATTTTGACATAACTCAGTTTAAAATGAGGGTGGCACAAAATTTATGTTCTTGTTAAATTGCATCATTTTAGTTCTCTATCTCTGTTTGTTTTTTATGTTAAAGTTAATGTCAACGACTTTAACTAATGGGGGCACTTTCATGATAAAATCTGAAAGCACGATCATCAAGGAAGGACGGCGTTCAATAAACTTGTTTATTTGTGATGTAATAATTCAGACCATAGAAGTAATATTAAATGAAAGCAATATAAGTATTAGCAGATGTTGCAGTATTCCATCCTTGGATATATATTACGATTTATTATTCTTGTCATAATAAATAGGTTAAGCATTGTTTTTGTAAATAATGATCTATATGAGCTTTGATAAATTATGAAAAATATGTAATATAGAATTGATCTTCTTCCTTAAACATTAAGTCAAATACTAATTTGCTCCTATCAAGTTAGGAAGTTCACATTTTTCGAAACGTATTATCTCATTGTCAGAGTAACATGTTCATTAAAATAAAATAAACCTTGTTTTATTTTTACTTCAGAAACTACCAGTAGTTCTATTTATAAAAAATCTTCACATTAGTGCGGAAGAGACACATTCAAACTTGAGATAAGCTAGTCTGGACTAAGCCCTTAGTCTTTGTTTTATTTATGCAATCGGCTCTAATTGAACATTTGATAATTGCAATTTGTTATTAGTGAACTTTTGATAATTGCATGTTGTTTACACTTTAAAGTCATTCTCGTACACAGTATAAATGTTATGTTGTGCTATCAAAAACAATGAAGCGTGGGACAATATAAATAATAAACAGGCATTGTACAGGATGTAGTTAACCAAGGCAAACATAATTAAACCACCCATAAACTATTATTTATAAAAGGTTCTTACACATAGGATCTGATTAGAGCGACGTGTTTTTGTGAAGAATATCACAGCATGTGTTATCAAGAGCATCCCTTGCACTTTTATCCGATTTATTACCATGGCATTTAAAACATCAATGTATGTCTACATAAAACGACAACTTAAAGTAGTTTTCCATGTAAACTTCAGAGGAATTTGCAAGTTTACACTATCGTCTTAAGATGACTTAAATTGAACACGTGAATTACTTCCTTATGCTATTACCAAACTGTTGAAGAATAAAACTAATGTGATTTAAGTCTTTTCGGCACTTGTTCCATTAAGAAATTATTAGATCACAAATTAACCAGTTATATTATCTGTGTTTTATTTCGACTTGATCATTAAATTGTATCCGTGATCGAATGGTTAATGTTGGTAAACATTAAAATAAAGTAAACAACAGAAATGAAAACTAAGATAATGCAACTTAACATTAACATAAAACTTGTACTACCATTTTTATAAAGTGAACTATCTCCCGTCAATATTGTTTTGGTGATACTATCATAATTTCAATTTAGATCAATGTTGTCATAGTACATGTATATGTATGTCTTTATGTAAAACATGTCACACAGCGAACGACAGAAAAATAAGGTATGTATGTCAAAATGATGAAAAAAATCATTATAATTAAAATGAGTTTAGATAAAGTTCAGAATATATCGGTAACACTCAAGAATGAGACAATCACTTTATAATTAGCGTGGTTTTTATATTTTTTTATCGTTACCATTTTTCATAATCAATTCATCAGTTATTGGTCAACCAACATCATAAATGCTCATTCTTTGAAACAAATTACAAATTCAATTCAAATTGATAGCGAGAAATGAGTATAATTCCTCTTTAAGTTATGCTTTATAAAGTAAATATTTTTAAATGCTGATCTTCTATAACACGAAAGTTAGATCTAAATTACTAATTGATGTATTGTATGATGATAAGTATTGTGTATTTGGTGTTTAAAAAGCTCCATTGAGGTCTTACAGCCTTAAACATTGTCAATTAAAATTCTTACATAGGACAAAAAGGTCACCACTTTAAACAGATAAATATGCAACATATAATATGAAATACCGTTATATATAAATCTAGATCAATGCCGTGCGCGATTTTCACCCTGATTTGAGTAAAAAATGTCTTACAATTTGTTTTTATTATTATACATTTGTCATTTGAACACATTAAAAGTGATAATTCTGAGAGAAAAAAGTGATTGAATGAGCTGTAATCACTCTTGTAATTCAATAACGCACACATTTACTGCAGTAAAAGCTATTCCTTTGTAAAAGGAACTTCAATGTAGCATTTTTAGTTCTAGAATATATAAACAATGCTCTATCTTAAAGTTAACAATGATAGAAAATAGAATGCATACATATGCATACATACATACTAATAGGATATAAGATGTGTTATAACGATGGTAGCCGAGTTGAACGCCTTTTTCAACAAGGAAGAGATTGTTAAGCAGTACCACGTGGAAAAGCTTTGGCATTGGTCATATTTCTATGTAATATTAGTTTAATTGTTCGAGAAAAATTGTGCTTAATAACAATGTTTACAACTCTTAACAAGGAAGTCAGACACAATGATGGTAAATGAAACTAAATACCTTTTCTGTCAACATTTAATACGTTTCCAGACATTAATCCTCCTACAATGTATTCCAAATGTCAACTACTAAAACATCTCACTTCAGAAATAAACTCAACACCATAACATAATTTACTAGAATGTCAATTTCAATGCCAACATTACATATATGTATATCTATTTATCTAATTAATGTGTTAAAAGTAATAAAATGGCTACTTCGTCCATTAAGTCTACATCTTTAATGTCGATGTTGAATTTAGATTAAAACTGTTCAACGGAAAGATTAACTTGAAACAATATCTGCGTGACCTTTGAAAAGAGTAAATAGCAATAAACTAAAATGTAAACCTTCAAATGTTGTAAATGGTGAACAATACGTATGTTCAGAATTGTTTTTACATTTATCCCAATTGCCACCTCAAACTATGTACATCAATCCAATTAAAAGTGAGTCAAAATTTAAGCAATATTTCATTGGCTTAAACTCTATCATATTCTGAAAACTTTATTGTAAGATTGTAAGAAACTGTTTATGAACTGTAATTATCCGTATGCTTGTGACTTTCTTCATTGTTATAAATTGGCACATTTATGTACAAAGTTTATCAATTTATTGAAAGAAAAAGTAAAATAATTTACTGATTTCGAAAATGAACTCTTATTAACAAAAAGGGAAAATGTATCTGTAAAATGCTTTTTAGGTCATCCAAGCATATTCTCAGGATGTGCTTTTAGGATTACTTTCCATCCCTCAGAAACCACAAGGTCTAGCGCTTAGATATTTGGTGTATAGTATCCTCTAGCACACTTCTAATACGATTGTTCAAATTATGGCCCTTAGGTCAATATTGCTCCCCCATGGGTCACAAGATTTTACGACGACTTATATACTAGTAGGAAAAAACTTTGAAAATCGACTTATCAGAACCACAAAGTCACAGCTTTAATTCAGAGCTTATCAAATGTGTCAAGGAAGGGAAAAGATTCCGACTTGTTGGGGATAATATCAACTTCCATGTCATTGTTGCACAGGCAAGAAAAAGTGTTGGGAAATCTGGACATATGGAACACTGGTTTGGCTCTGCTGCTATAATCCAGAATGTAGAATTTAATAATTTATCAGATATTACTCCCCAGTGTGATTTGCGACAAGTCCCGAATACAAGATTTCTTCTGTCTGAAGATGAGTTGAAAGAAGAGGTGTATCATATGTCATATCTTGCTGCAAAGATTATGGTTGAGCATTTCCCGTGGTTACAATTTGCCATGGATGCAATGAATGAAGTAGATGACAAAATTCCTGGCATGCATGTCAGAAATACAGTGATACCTTTACCCATTTTGCACAAAAATGAACAAAAATATACAGACGTCATTGACATTCTTGATTCATACCAGGAACTTTGCGACTCAACTTTCCAAGCTGCTGAAACTACAACACAGAAAACCCAAATAGGTGGTGATCAGCTCACTCGTGAAAGATTTTCTGGTGCTAAACGCCTTCGAGCAGCAGCTTTAACTGAGACTGAGCGGTTAGAAGGACTGAGTCCTATAACATTTGAACTGTTCCATTTACAGATGACAGTTTTGAGTGTTTTTTACAAAATATTATATAATACAGAAAACACAGATTCATTTACATTACACAGCCAAAAGATCAGACTTTTGCGTAAAGAAGCAGATGGAAATGATGTGAAAAATAACTATGATAGTTGCAAAGATCTTGCAGAATCTTTGATAAAAGCTTATGTAATTGAGGCAGCATGTGAGCATATTGGACTTCCAAATACAGATATTGTCCCTGAAAATATTCCAGACACTACTGAAATGTCAAATGAAGAGATAAGAAGTTGGTTAATTGATCAGGTTTCTCCTATTATTCAAAACGTTATCAAATCAACGAGAAGTTCCTTAAATGGCGCATACATTCAGGAAACAAATCCTGATCCAGTTTTTAAATATGGAAACATTGTTATTGAATTAGGTTTGATTTTCATGGATCTTTGTAACATTTTGAAAAATCCAAACAGAGAACGTTTGCTTGTTGTTATGAAATACTTAATGATAATTTTGAAGGGTCACAATAACAGGTCAAAATATGCTCTTGAAATATTGAGATTGCTCTGTCATCAGTATGCACTTTTAAGTGAAAAAACTGCACATGAAACAATTTATGGTCTGTTTGTCAATACTGGTAGAACAATAATACCAGCTGATTTACAGATGGAATATTTGGTGAGGCTAACTAATGGACAATTACGGTCAATGTGTTCTAAAGTTACTGAAAAATCCTTGGTAAAGCGCAGTAGCTCTTTCTTTGGTGTGAATGAGATATCAGAACAATTTGACAATGAAACTTTTACCATTAAACGTGCACACAGAAACATATGAGATTGTCATCCTTTGAAGATGAAAGAAAATAAATAGCTGTCTTAGAGTCACTAGACCATTTCAAGAAATTTCAGGCCGACAAGCAGGGTCAATAAAAAAAGTTCCCAAGAATCATGTTGTTAAAATAGATTAAGAGGCATTCATAAAGTGGTTTGAGTATCACAAAATCAATTTGCTCTATGAAGTTTAGGCAATAACTTTGGTAGCTTTTGAGAAAAGGTCATCTTATGCCAAACTAAACACAAGAATTCTGATTTTATGTATCTCTTTAATGCTGCACTCTTCGAGATGTGTAAGGAAATATTTAAAAAAATAATATTATGAAAGATATATATTTCTACATATGCCCAGTTACTAATGGTTTAAGGTAAGACCATCCAATTGCAATACCTCCACCCTGAAGAGTACTTACATAGGCTAAAATTCATTTCGATAATATGAAAACCTAGGCTGTGGGTTCAACTCCCACTGGGACCTTACTTTTTTATCATTTTCTTTTCTTTTTACATTATAATTGTATCTCTCAGATCCTAATTAGAAAGGAAAACTATTTAATTTAAATGTATTGTTTCTATATGTATCTAATCGCTATAAATTTTAAATTTAAAAGAAAAATATAAAATCTGATGTATCAAACTTTAAACATTTTGAGTTGAAGCGATCATAAGCATGTATGATTTGTTAGTTAATTGTTATTGTAAGTGGTGGTATTACAGGTGAATTAGAGATTCCTTTTTTTTCAATGGAGCACTTTTGATGTCTTTCTTTCAGAAAAGTGCCTGTACGTCCAAAACCACACAGTAAATGTTGTTAAAAGTTTGCATACAAGTGTCTTTCATGACATATAACACAACTATGGAGTCAATGTTACCGGTTTGTTTTAGTTCCCATTAGGGTGATCATACCTTTAGGTATATTTTATCATATTCTGCCTGATTTTCTGTGTAAGTGGCTTGGACGGTAGCTTGCACTTTCCAGTACCGTCCATGAACAGGCTCAATCAAACCGTGCCTGCAACATTTTCAATCTTGCCGTGTTGGGCTTTCTTTAGGGATTCTGTATTTATCTTTTTTAAGATTGCTAGAGCATTTTCAAAATGTTCAAACATATATTTTATTGTAAATCTTGAGGAGCGCAGCTATAAAGTGTGACAGTGCTATTTTAGGAAATGCAAGTCATAGTTTGAATTACTATACAAAGTCACTATTTAGGAGATGTTTGGCATTATTTAAGTAAATGTATTCTGTGTCTTTAAATTTTGAGCTCACCTGAGCAAACATTCAAGGGTGAGCTATTGTGATCACCGGCGTCTGTTCATCATCTTGACTGACTATGACCTATTTCATTGTCTTTGAATACCCGCTGTTGAAGTACAGAATGGCCTTTGATCCTTCCAGCTCGTCCAATTTCTTGAACATAGGCTAAAAAGACAATTTGTTGTTAATATAAATACACAAACATGTATAAGGAGCATTAAAAGAAAACCAAAAAATTCTAACACTGCGACCAGTATCTATCCGGATCAACAATTTGTGACAAGTTAATCAAGATCAGCCTATTCATCTGCTGATAAAGTGCTGCTTATGTAGATCCTTTAAATTGCAAAGATAAAACATTGGTGTTCTCATCATGTGGCTAATATATATGGCCTTGCAAAAAAGAAATGATATGTAATCAATTGAATTATTACTAAAGTGAGCGATATAGAACAAGCATGATCCTCTTTTGTATTAAGTCTTGCATGTCATTATGTAATATCCAGACTGAAGCTTTTAAGCTAACCTGAGCTAGCTCAGGGTGAGCTTTTTGGATCGTTGAATGTCCGTCGTCTGTCGTCCGTCCACACTTGTTTGTTAACACTCCAGCGGTCACATTTTGCATCATCATCAAATTTTGTCAGGATGCTTGTCTAGGTGATTGCTCGGATGAGTTCGAACAAGGGTCATCTCGGATGAAAAACTAGGTCACCGGAGCTAAAAAGAAAAACCTTGTTAACACTAGCGGTTACATCTTTGCCTCAATCATCATCAAACTTGGTCAGGATGCTTATGTAGTTGATTGCTCGGATGAGTTCGAACATGGGTCATCTTGGTTGAAAAACTAGGTCACCGGAGCTAAAAACAGAAAAACCTTGTTAACATTCTAGTGGTGATATTTTTGACTCAATTATCATCAAACTTGGTCAGTTTAATATTTACATAAAAGTAAGAAATATTACATACTTAACGATTAACGCAAGTAAAAGCATATGTGGTGCTTTGAGGGTACCTATGTGTAAAAAAATGAGAGAGTACCTTTGATATAAATTTCAAATGAAGAGAGTGAGCCCGTGCTGCTGCAAAACCGAAAGAAGGGTGTTTTTATGAATTTTACATTTATTTTTTGACAATATACTGCCATTTGTCCGAAGATAATATGAAATGAACATATTAAATATGTATGAAACATATATAATCAAGCCACAGGTTCATTTCAGCCCGAAAAATATGTCGAGGTGATGGGCGACGCAAGACATGTCGATTTTTTGTAGCTTATTGTGAAGTTGCAGTACATGAAAAACGGGCACATGACAAATCAGCACATCAATTAAACATTCTAATGTTACGTGGTATTTATGTTTTCTACGTGTCATACCTCCTTTCCTTATTACAATGAAATTTTACTTGATTGTTATCCATCGCTGGTTTGTTTTTAGCAGAGAATGACCTGTGCATGTGCAAAGAGGGTACCACTTGAGCAGATTTCGCAAAGAGGTTACCGATATGGTTATGCACCGTGAATAATGATATCTAAATATTCTTGCTATAAGACAGGGTTGGGATTTGAACCAAAACCTCCAAAGGAATTTCTTTCAAATGGCGTTCTAACATTAAACTACCATGGCTGCATATAGCTGAACTATACGCCCCATTAAGTCTGAAAATCAAGCATTTTTCTTATTCTCATCACCTTTTAATCATTTATTAAATTGAATTGATCTGAAAACACATTTGTACACATTATTTTAAATAATAAATGACTGTAACTGTTATAATTTGGTCTAAAGTAAATATAATTATCAAAATGTAGTGTGTACAAATGTTACTTTACTTCTGAACCATATCTTTCGTACTCATAAGCATTGCATGTCCGAATTTGATATATTCGATAACATTATATGATAAGCCAAAGCTGATTAAGGAAGAAAGACATAACAAGTTGAAATTAATTATAAAAACTAGACGAAAACTACCAGGATTTTCACTTTATCAAATTTTGTATTATGTTTGCAATAGATACATACAACATTGAACGCGACCATTGTTGAAGGTTGCCTGGCGTATTTATTTTATAGTACGGCGGAAACCAGACTAATTTATAGGCATGTTTAAAATATCAAAGAAACCTATTTTAGCACCGTTGATGCATTTCTATTTATTTCACTTTTGTTTGATTTGTTTGGTTTTATGGTACTGCAAACAATTTAGGTCATATGGCGCCGAAACCTCAGGTGTTTTGAACTAAAAGCAAAAACAGTGGTCAAAACCACCTCACTTGTTGTAGCTTAGAGATGCATACAGACTCCAGTAATTCAAACCTATTTGGTATCGTTAAATTAATGATGCCTCAACCCTTAAGGCAAACCCTCGGCCACAAGGGAGATTCTATTTCACACGAACATAAACACATTAATTTTGCATGACATTGTAAAACAAACTGAAGCAAAATCCTCAAATTAAGATGAATAAAATAATCTATTAGATTTTGTTAAAATTGAAGATTTAGCATGGTATTGGACGTCATTTATCTAGCATTCACATAAAGGGTTTTTATAAGATAACGTATATCTTAAAAGCAATGCACTTTATGTAAGTTGTATAATCTGAGGAATCTGTGAAAATTTTACTCTGTTTTTTTCAATAAGAAAGGACGTGACTAAATGAAATATTGTACAGAAATCTAATAAGATCTAATTCAATAGAGATGTGAGATATTTGTTAAGCTTATGACTGACTTAATGGACTAATTATCTCTGAACTGACGTAGAAGGCGTTTTCTTTTGTACTCTTGTTTAATTTCCGGAATTAGTTTTTAGCTCACCTGTCACAAAGTGACATGGTGAGCGTTTGTGATCGCTCTTCGTACGGCGTCCGACCGTCCGTAAACTTTTACTTCAAACGACATCTCCTCATAAACCACTAGGCCAATTTCATCTAAATTTCACAGGAATGTTTTTTTGGTAGTCAACTTTAAAAAAATGTTCAAAGAATTTAATTCCAAGCAGAACTCTGGTTGGCATGGCAACCAAAAGAAAAAAAACCTAAAATATCTTCTTTTAGAAAACAGAAAGAGTTAGAGCTTTAATATTTGGCATGAAACACCATCGAGTCATTGTTACCAAGTTTGTTAAAAAAAATGCCTTGGGGTTGAAATTGGCCCCGCCCCGGGTTCAAAGATTTTCCTTATTTGTATATAGTGAAAACTATAAAAAAAACTTCTTTTAAAAAATTAAAATAGCTAGAGCTTAGATATTAAGCATGAAACATCCTCTAGTGGGTGTCTACCAAGGTAGTTCAAATAAAAGCCATTAGGTAAAAATTGGCCCAGCGCCAGGGAGTCATTGATTTTCCTTATTTGTATATAGTAAAAACTTAAAAATCTTTTTCAAATAATCCCAAATAGCTAGTGCTAAGATATTTAGCATGAAACATCTTCTAATCGGCGACTACCAAGTTTGTTCAAATAACAGCCCTTGGGTAAAAATTGGCCCCGTCCCGGGGTTCATTGATTTTCCTTATATGTGTATAGAAACCCAAAGAGCTAGAGTTTAGATACTACGCATGAAATATCTTCTAGTGAGTGTCTACCAAGGTTGTTCAAATAAAAGCCCTGTGGTCAAAATTTGCCCCTCCGAAAAGGGGTCATTATTTTTCCCTATATGTATATAGTAAAAACCTTTAAAAATCCTCTTATAAAAACCCCCAAAAGCTAAGGCTTAGATATTCATCATGAAACATCTT